GCTATAAACTATTGAAACTATAAAATATACCCGCGGGAGCTATAAAAGAAGCGAGAGGCTTTTGAAGAGCAAAAGAAAGCTGCAGACCGAAGGCGTGTAATTTCGAAGATATTGCATAACTTTCCATAAACTAAATAAGGGCTGGGAAATGTATTAGCAATTTCGCGTCGGTGGGCAATAAATTTCGACGCGGATAAGTAAGAATTAATTTAAATAATTTAAGCCGCCCATAAATAAATCGGCGGAAAGCGAGGTAAACATTTTCGGAAGGAACGGAGCTTTCGTTTTGGTAGAGCTTCAACCGATGCCTGGGTTCGATATTAAATTATACTGGTTTGTTGGGACCACCCATCGCATCACATCCCGTCTCATCGCAAAAACCTTATATAGAGGGCGCGCATTACATGACATCCGCTTCCGGCAACATCTTGCTGTAGATGCTATACATTATAGATATATACATCATTGCGAATTCATCATTATTTTTACTTTTTTTATATTTCCCCTGTTTCCTTCTTTCTACTTTACAACCAAATGGGTTGAAACGAAGACAGAACTACTATAAACTTTGATGTTGTTTACTTGTTCATTTCTTATGTGTTTGTATACATATGAAATGCATATGGTAAAAGGTACATTTCCCGATTATATAATCAATATTTTTATACTTATTTCTTAAAAGTGATATGAGACATAAATAAAGTTATATACAAATACTAAATATAATAAAATACATATAATCCCAATCCCAATGCCCAATCTGCAAAGACAGATATATACAGAGTGGGCCAACTTGGACTGACTGTTCTAAAATATTTATAACTGAGTTTTTCATTTTTTTAAATTTATTTTTGTTGTAAATTATAAAGAATTTAAAAAAATATAATGGCTACATACTTAGTATGGTTGACGCTAAACTGGTCAAAATTACAACGTATAAAAATATAACGTGCCCATTTTAATGTTTCAACAGCTCCCAGTGCAATTATGATAATAAACTTAATCAGCCGTTTTTAGAAACGGGGTGCAGTATATGCATGAATAAATCAAAAGAAAATTCTAATTTTCAAAGTTGAATACTTATTAATAATATGAAACTTGTAAAACAAAATCTTTAAAAACATATTTTAATTTATGTAAAATTAAAATTTCTTTTTTATGTGCATTTATTTGTATACAACATTATTAATAAAATATATATTACTCCTCGAATTTAATATTTAATAAATTACACAATTGGTTGAGCTTGTCTATAATTAAATACTAATAAAATTTGTTCATATGAATTTCCATATAAACTAATTTACGACAAAATATAACTCGAAACGAAACGAATCGAATCTTTACCATGAGGAAGAAAATTTGTCTCTAAATAACATAGTTTTACCGCAGGAAGATCATTTAAAATATCTTGGCATGCATCTGGATATAAGACTCACTTGGAAGAAACATATATGGACATAGAGAAAGCCACTAGGTCTGAAATTCAGCAAACTATATTGGCTGCTAGGAAGATAATCAGTGCCGTCGCTCGACAAATTATTGATATATACACAAATACTCAAACAAATATGGTCATATGGAGTTGTGGAGTTCAACAAGCAACTGTAACATTGAAACACTTCAGCGATGCACCCTGGTATGTCCCCAATAGTGGATACTGTCATCTGTAATGACACACTTCTAGTACCAATTTACTTATTGATCTTCTATAGAAAGATTGTAAATCTAAATGGATATTATATATTAAAAAAAAATAGTGTATATATATTATATGTAGGTTCTTATAAAAAAATATTTTCATTGCTTGTACCAAAGAAAAGCAATAACAAAATTGTCTTATACTATTTGGCGTATTAATTTTATTATTATATTGAGATTTTTATAATGATTATATCCTTAGCTCTTTCTCTATACGCAAAGAAAAACAGTTAAAAATTGTCTTTTTTTTATTTTATAGAAAAAAATTGTAGAAAAATTGTAGTCTAAATTAAATTTTAAAATTAATTGTATTTTTTTTATAAAATAGATTGTAAATAAAAAGGAGGTTAAAAAATCTCCTTGATCTTATATACAAATAAATACGATAATCGTAAATATGTAGTATTTACAATAAACTGACTATTGGCTTGTCCAGAAAGTTCGTGCCAATTTTTTTACTCTATAATGAAATACTCGTATATTGAAACAATGTTTCTCATATTACCTAATGTAAAATTGAATAATGCATTCCATGCCAGAACAAAAAAGTATAACTTAATCTCGCTTTTTAATGATTTTACTTTTTCATATTTGGTTATTTTTATTCTTACGCTGTTATTAAATTTTTCACAAAAAAAATCACTAATAACATATAAAAATACAAATAATATGTCATCTCAAGTTTTGAAAATGATGTAGCAGGCGCATAATTGTCACTGGTTATACGAAACGTAACGAGTGAAGCGAGTCATTTTTACAATTTATTTTGCTCATTAACTTAAACATTACATCCTCCCAAAATTTATAAGGTTTTGCGTCAAAAACACTTATCCATTTGTTCTTTTATGTTCTTTTAATCATACTTGCAGTTAATGGAATTTGTATTATATCTGGTGGCACTATATCTGGTGAATACTACAGGAATACAACTCTGTTCGAAAGAAATATAGTGGTGATATTTTCGTGATTTTTATCCGTTTAATTATGCAAAACTTATATATCTTAACGGTTTATATAAGAAGGCTTCAAAAACCGTGCAAATGCAAAACTGCACTAACTTTCTTATAAAGACGGTTTAGGCATCGCAAAAATCGACAAAAACTTTCCGGATAACCCGATATTAAAAATAGTTTTTTTTTACACAATTTAATATATTGATTATACGATTACTTAATCATACATAAAACTCAGCACAATTTTAACTATTAAATATGTAAATCGTAAATAACTAACGGCCCGACATAAAAGGTAAATTAACGGATATAAAGATATTTTGAACGCCACTAAAATGTAACAAACAAGCTATGTTTACACAACGTTAAATTAATTGGTAAACAATTTTTTTTATTGCACAGTACAATGGGGAGATTGTGCGACACAAATACATATTGCCCGGACGCGTCAAAATGGAACGTCCAAAAGTCAGGAAATCAGTTGATTTATAATGTAAACTAATTGAGAAACCTTAGAGTTAATATGGAAATACGTATTTTTGCATATTGTTGTATTTTTAAAATATTTAAAGTACAACCAAATCCAATCCACGAGAATCTAAAACCAATTTCTTTTTGTATTTAAAAATATGAGATATGTTGTCATTTCTAAGATAAATAGTAGGAAATTTTTGTCTTGCAATTTTACTATACTTTTATTTATATTCTTTTCTCTTTTGGAAGTGCAAGAAAATACATTTAAAAAAAAAAACCTTATTAAACGAATAATACCCTTCATTTAAATATAAAAAATATTTTTTATATATTTGTACGCAAAGAAAACAATTAAAAATAGGTTTATACAAGAATTTATACATTAATCATTACTTTCCCTAGATTCATCTAAAGATTCTCATCTTGGTTCTATTTTTTTTCTATTTTGCACAAAGAAAAACTACGTAATAAACATTCTTCTCCATCATCATCTTCCTCCTATTTGCGGGTTTAATTCTTTTTTTATCACGAGAAGGATTAACAGATTCCCTAATCCCATTCCGCATGAACCGGACAATAAAAGTTAACGTCTCCTGTAAGAGAAGGATGATCCTATGGGGGAATGGAATATATAAAAAAAGGAGCAGAAGAAGGACGAAAAGCAGGATATTTTTATGCTGCGGTTACGTTTCGCTTAATGTACTATGAACAATTATGGGCCTTATGTTTTACTTTTATCGTCATCCTCTGCGCAATTTTGAGCCGGGTCACGTCCCAGGATTATTTTTGCTCCGTCTCCCATCGCACTTCTATCTTTTTCTTACTGCGTGCGCGTTATATATATTTTTTTATTTCAAACATATCCTTAAGAAAAGAAAAAGTCCACTATTTCTGCTGGCTAAGGACGTGCTCACAAGATCCTTAAGCAGCTCCAGTAAATTTAATTTATTTACCAGCAGTCCATTGATGGCCAACTACCAGCTACTTGCTTATTAATATTCCCTGCAAGGACGAAATGCGAAAGCACCTCGCCGTGCCAGCAATAATATTAGCATTCCTGCTGCATACGTCGCCGAACTTTATTGGCCCCGAAAGTTTTCCAAACGCAGGAGCAAAGAAAAAAAAACGTAGGAAAGAGAGAAAAAAAAACACATCGACAGGCAGTAGGAAGAAAACCAAGGGGGGAGGTCAGAAAAAGAATTTTCGCGCGCGCTAAACTGATTTCACTGTGTTCAGAAGAAATTGTGGAAACATTCTTTGACTCTTGATGAAATAATACGAGGGATTAACTTTTTTTTCCAGAAACTTTATTATGATTTTTTTTCTCTTTTTCTTTATGCGCCTTGAATTCCAAACTGTTCAATCGATAAGACTTTAGTTTAAGTAAATATTCTTAGAACAAAACTTTTTTTCAGTTTTGTTTCTTTGAATTGAAATTAAATGAAATTTATGAATTCCACTTGTAAAGTTTGCTCATTTACTTCAGCACAAAAGATTGTTAGCACTATTAGCGAGCATTTGCTGTTCGAGCCAAAGGTTCGCAATCTTCTTTTTTCTTCTCCTTTTTTGTCCTCGTCAAAGACGAGCGACGAATCTGCATATTTTCCTGCTCCTCTATTTACAATCGTTCTTTCAGGACGGCTTTCTTACCTGCTTTCTGTAAATTAGGAAATTTGTTATTCAGATTCAGACGTGATTCGCCTCCACAAAGGGAAGTGGATCGTAAAAAAAAGCACACACATTCGTATAGTCCTCGTCTGCTTTGTGGTTTTCCGCTGTACTCCGACCAATAATATATTTATTCAACATTTATTCCACTTTCTTGATTTCTTTATGGGATTTAATTTATATTTTTTCATTTCTTTGTTTCAGATACTCCTCCAATACTGAAAAAACAGGTAAATACTTTTAGAAAATCTTATTTCCTAAAAACATTTATAAAAATACAACATTACATTTAATATTTATTTAAATGTATCTCAGTTCCTCGCTTAGTACGGTATTTTTTTACAGATTTTTTTCAACGAAATATCATATGAAATTATAATAAACTTATATGGAAGCTTACTGATAATACGTTACATGTTGTATGAAATCGTGTTATACGAAAATATCCATATAAATGTCAATTTGAAACAGGGTGATGGCTTCATTTAATTATGTTCTATTAATGTTATTATATTACGCGCAGTACGAGAATCGCGTTATGTAAAAAGTTGTCCCAATAGAAGAACTCACTATATACGGGAATGTACTGCATATACAAGTAGACTTTGTTACATGAATTTTCCATAATGTTGCACATATTACATTTATGCGATTTTTTTAATCGAAATCATTTCTTTTAGGTAAGTAAGTATTCCTGATAATCTATTTCATCAATATGTCTAATAGAAGGTTTTGACAATATTGAGAGAAAACAAATGGATAAAAAAAATGTTTATTAATTCAAATTTAGTTTGTTTTAAAACCATGCTATATGTCAGGTGTATAGGTGTATAGGTGCATAGGTGTATTTGTTTTTGGTTGTAATTTGGCAAAATACAATTGAATGAAGTCAGAAATGTTCTATCTTTATTCATTTATGGGAAATGGGAACACATTTCTGAATAGAGCGGAAATATAAAGTAAATTTTACCATTTGCCTTTAGAAGTAATGTAATCTCTCGCTTAGTATGGTAAGTAGCAAACTAAAATGCGGTTCATGAATATTAAAATATATACAAACAGTTCTTGCTCCACTAATTTTCTGCATTTACGCAGAAATTACATTTGTGGGGAAATTAGTTCCCACTTTCTTCATCCGAACGAATTATTATGAAATCTCCGGTTTGAAATATCAAATTTATAAAATTATAAAAAAGTTCAATATATAACAAAATTTGTTGCTTCTCCAACAAAAAAAATAATAAATAGTTATAATACTTTGATGAGAATATAAATCTAAACTTATGGAATTAAAATTTAAATCATTTACAAATGAAAAATTGAAAGAAGTAGTGTTAATATTTATATTTTTGTTTATAATTAAAACCATATCTTAATTAGTACTTTATTGAAATATTATTATATTAGTACATATTCATTTCACAAAATTGCATTTAATTTACTTAGTTATTAAATATAAAAATTATCAAACAAAAATATATTCACGTTGAATTGAAATTGTAATTTAATTAAAACCATTTACGCCAGTCTCGCTAAATATATGTACAATGTACATGTACAAAAAAATATGAGTGCTGCTGATATTACAGTTTCGAATTATTTAATTATTTTCGCATTTTCCGCGCACTAAAAACAGACTATGTATGGTTTCCATTGTAATTTTATATATGTATATTTATGTATTTTAATTCATTTATTGAAAGTGCAATTAATATTCAGTTTTTATAATTGATTTTTTATTTTGTAAATGATACATATGCAATTACAAATAACAAAACAATAAACAGAAATGCAACATTTGTAACAAATTGGAAACAAAAATACGAAAAATTATTGATTTAATATTCGTAGTATCATAAAGAAACTAATGCATTTAAAACTCCTGTGTTTTTTATGAATTATATATTTTACGTTATAATTAAAAGGTATATAATACATCAATACTTCTCATAGTGCGGCTTCGCTTAGTGCGGTTTGATAATTGTAAAGCAAACTAAATTTAAAAAAAACACAATGGTAAAAAAAATGTACATACATTTTTCCTCGATTAGACGTAACTGATTACTTGCACTATGCTAGCAACTTCTATTTATTAATTATGTGGACAAAAAAACGAAAATAAAAAATGTAAAAATTTGTATTAAAAATTCATCTATTTTATATTGGGTATATAAATAAATATTTTTTTGTATGTAGTTAGTATCTTTAGTAATCTAGTTTCAAATAGTCCAGGATATTTGCGGAAGCGGACTATTCGAGGTATTTCATATTTTTCATAATTTTAAACTTAAAATCTAATTTATTTGTGCCATATCCGCTACATTAGATTCACTTTACAAAATGCAATAATCCAGGAAGATATCAAGTTATCTTAACGTCTTACAACGTAGCATCGTCAAGGTTTCATTCACACTTTCCATCTTCCGTAAAGCATCTAAATTTTTTGAATCCTAGCGAAAACGAAGTTTTGTTGACATCCAGGCGCTCCGAAAAAAATGCCAAGCTAGTTTACTTTTCTCACATGTATATACGCATTTCAATACCAGAATCATACGTTATTCATCTCACGAAAAGTTTCACGTTTAACGAAATCCAGCTTCATTTCTGCAGTTCCACTCATTGTTTCGTATTTTCTTCTACCTGTTCCTCTCTCACTCCACCATATTCCTACTTTCAAAACATTTACTAGTTTTATTCCATTTCGCAGCGAGATTTTATATAAAAATTCAACGCAACGTTTTCATCCAGGAAGTGAAACTTTTCGTTCGAAAATTTCGTTTTGTTTTCCCTACTCCTCCGTGCGGATTCCCAACTTCCATCACGTGCGCTCTTTAACCGTTAACGCATTTTAAATGGACGTGCAGCATTTTATTTGTTTCTCTCCATTCCTGAAAACTAATTCCGCTTCGTTAATTAAGTACGAACCAAAAAATAAATAAAATTGGAGAGAGAGAGAGAGACGGGACGTTATCGTCGCCGCTCACTCCGCTCGATTTTCGGCTATTTGTTACGTAATAATATCTATCTGGGGCGTTCGCAAAGTTTCGGGGTCTGCGAAGTTTGCGAAACTTCGGGAATATTACTACGAGATTATATTATATCAATAGATTTCAATTGCAAAATTTGATGAACTTGAGAACTCTCCGTTTCTTGATACGCTGGTGCTGCCTAAAGTTTTGTCGTTTTGAATGTTATTAAACGATTATTACATGTACAGATGTTAATAATATTTTACGCATTTCATTCATCAAGCCGTAATTACAAATAATATATCACAAATCAAATAAACGGAATTCCTTTAATAAAAGAATCTAACTATATATATATAAATATTTGGTAGTGAAGGAAGGAAAAGTTTTGATTAAATTTTTTAAATGGAAATGGAATTAAATGTATATTTTATTTTATTCTTTTGTCATTTGTTTGAAATATGCAGCGAAGTCGAGTTTAATAAAACAAAATAATTATAAACAAAATATGAGTCTTTTCTACATATTTAATATAAATATTTTATCATTTCCTAAGTAAAGGATGTCCCAAAATAAACTGATATTTTATATATTAATACACACATTTTATTTGATTATTGATAATATTTTTGTTTTATTAGAAACTAGACATGGAGGTTATATGAAGATCAAATTTAACACAATATTGCCAAAATTGCGCAAAGCAAGGACGATCATTTGTCAAATGTTTTGTAATCTGACAAATAACCGTCCTTGCTTTGCTAAATTTTGGCAATGTTGTATCAAATTTTATTTTTGAGGTCTTATCGACGGATTGATGTTGAAGGATTTTCTTCAACACTTTAAAGCTGGCTATGATTTCACTGGAACGAGTTGTATGAGGATAACCACAGATTGTTTTTTGTTTATAAGTAAACCGGTTGACTTAAAATTATTGATTAGATTTAACAAGTGATTTTTTAACCATTTATACACGTTGTTCCATTGTGTGCTTTTCCATAACTTAACCTCAATGTTTACTAATGACATAATATAAAAATCTATAGTCTCGTTTTGCCATGAAGAAAATAGCGGAATATTTTAAATGTCAGTTATTTTTGGGACATCCTTAACATAAAGAAACAAATTCAGAAAAACTGAAATAATTTTAAATTGTACAAGTCATTTGAATAGTATTATTGTAAGTATATATACATTAAAAATAAAAATATCAAAAAACAATTAAATACAGCAAAATCTCGCATAGTCCGGGTTGAGCATTGTGTGTGTAAATAATTTCAGAAAAATCTTTCTAATAATAAATATAATAATTATTCGTTAAAAGTACATAGATTGATGTAGTTTATTTCTATTTTATATAGTTCCTCGATTAGTCAAATTTGAATTGTTTTTATACAGTTTTTTTGTTTATGGTTCAAAAATCCTCAATTAGTGATATTGACGGAATTTATATAAAAAAAACTTAGCAAAATAATTAAATGTATAAAATATAACGAAATAAATTAATGGAAATTTTATTTATTTAGCCATCATTTACAGATAAATTTTAATAACATAATTAAAATATATTAAGATTAAATTTAAAAGTAAAAAAATGTGTGTTTTTATTTATTATTTTAATAAATAGATATATTAATTAAATTATGATTAATATTTGCATTGAAAATACAAAAATACCAAGTTTTAATTTTTTTTGTTCAATGTATATTTTTTTCATTCATATTATGCTTAAAATATACAAAGAAGATTAAATTAGGCTGATTTAAGGATTTACTAATATAATCGGTCGTTTTAAGACCATAATTTTATTATATTTATACTGAAATCTCAAGGAAAAGTTTTGGTTAAATTTTTAGAAAATAAAACGAAATAACGAAATGGACTTCTGCTTATTACATTCGGCTAAAATTTAAATAAAATAAGATAAATGAAAGAATGATTAATAATGTTAGTCTTTTAAGAATACTATTGCAAATGAATGTAATACAAATAAACAAATAAAGCGTATTTTTAAATATTGTTATCAAAAGTAATTAACTAATTTAATTTCTATAAGAACAAAATTATATAAATGTTTACACATTTAACTTATTTATTGAAGTACAGCAATAGTTCGTATAGTACGGCTTCAATCAGTCCGGATTGAAAATTTTATAGCAAAAGAAATTTTAATTGAGCAATATAAAAATAATGTCTAAAAAAATATTACACAGAATTATTTTTCTATAGATAAGAGATCGTTTGTGTTTTCTTTAATACAC